ATTATTAAAATTAGAAAAATCTAGTAATGCAGGTGATTAAAAGGTACAAAAATTTGCAGTTATAGGATAAATAAGTTCTGGGAATCTAATGTACAGTATGATGACTATAGTTAGCAATCCTGTATTGTATATTTGAAAGTTACAAAGATACTAGACCCTAAAACTCATCGCAAGAGGGGCGCCTGAGTGGCTCAGTCTTAAGCGTCCAACTTTGGCTTAGGTCATGATCTCGCCATTCTTGAGTTCAGATTCTGTGTCTCCCTCTCTTTCTGCCCCTCCCCCGCTAATGCTTGCTCTCTCTCTCTCTCTCTCAAAAATAAATAAACATTAAAAAAAATTTTTTTTAAACACATCACAAGAAAAAAGTTTGTAACTATGCAAGGTGATGGATATTAACTAAACTTACTGTGGTAAGCATTTTGCAGTATGTGCATATATCAAACATTGAATTTATACAATGTTATATATCAATTATAGCTTAATAAAACTGGAAAAGAGGAAAATTTAGTAATGTAACTCATTACATTATAATAGAATAAAGAGGAAACCATCTGATTATCTCAGCAGATACAGAAAAGGCATTTGATAAAATTCAAACACCCCCAACCTACACAGGTGATAAAACTGCATAGAACTTAATATGCATATATTATGTTACACACACACACACACACACACACAGGAGTACAAATAAAACTGAGGAAAGCTGAGTAAGGTCAGTGTCAATATCTGTATTGTGATCGTATATATATAATCTTCCAAAATGTTACCAATGGCGGAAATTGGGCAATGTATACAAGTGATCTCTCTGTATTGCATCTTAAAACTGCATGTACCTCTGCAATTATCTCAATAACAACTCAAATTTAAAAAGAGAGGGCAAAGGGTGAAAATGGAGGGGAAAAGGGAGAGAGGAAGAGAAAGGAGATCAATTTTTTGGAAACAAAATTGCATTAATCCATCAAAATTTGTTAAGTTAAAAATATAGGATAGTAATTTTACTTAAAAAATCATAGCCATTCCAACCTCCCAATGTTTTAGTATAGCCTTATAAAAATTTAAAGTTTCAAATTTTTGCATTTTTCTCATTTTTTTAATGTTTATTTATTTTTGAGAGAGACAGAGAGAAAGCCAGTGGGGGAGGGACAAAGAGCGAGACTCAAAATCTGAAGCAGGCTCCAGGCTCTGAGCTGTCAGCACAGAGCCTGACACAATGCTTAAACTCATAAACCTGTAAGATCGTGACCTGACCTGAAATCGAATGTTCAACTGACTGAGCCACTCAGGCGCCCCTCAAATTTTTGCATTTTGAGAATATCACGACCTTTCCAGGGATGCTGCCAACATGCTCAATATGATGAATACAATACTAACATATATGACATAATGTCAACGATATATTACAATTTACACTGGGGGTGCCAGTGGCTGTCAGTTAAGTGTCTGACTCTTGATTTCAGCTCAGGTCATGATCTCACAGTTTGTGAGATCCAGCCTCACATCGGGCTCTGCACTGACAGTGTGCAGCCTGCTTGGGATTCTGTTTCCCTTTCTCTGCCCCTCCCCTGCTTGCTCTCTCTCTCTCTCTCTCAAAATAAATAAACAATAAATAAAAAAAATTTTTTTAACCTGTGTCCAAAGCCTTTCCCCTAACCTATATTATATAAACTTAAACCTACATTATATAAACTTCGATGCTTGCTATGCTATTTTCGTTTCAGTTATTCCAACAAAATATGTAATTCTTTCAAAACAAAACAAAACTTCACCAACAAAGAATAGAAGGGAACTTCCATAATCTAAGGACTCTCCCAAAAACTTCACACTCAACATTATGTTTAAACAGTGATATGAACAGATATGAAATGTGTTATATGTTCTTTGTAGTAAAGTTAAGAACAAGGCAGGGATGTCCAGTGTCACTGCTTATATTCAATTGTGTACTGGAATCCTAGCCAGTGCCATTAAAAGTTTTAATAAAATATATTTAATTTAATATGCTTAATTTAATGAAGTATACCTTCAATCAAGCATACTTAGGAGAAGAATTGAAAAGAAAGAAAATTGTCTCTATCCACAAGCCATGTGATTGTTCAAAGAATAAGTGGTAAATTTTAGAACTAATAAGAGATTCCACCAAAGTTGCTGGATTTGAAATTGATAGCAGAGGCCGAAGAGCCCATGATGAGTGTTATGAACTGAAATTCTAAGTAAAGAGATATGACAACCCATTAGTACAAAGAAGAGAAGCAGAATGACCTAGAAAGGAGCTGAGCCCTAGAATGAAGACCACTACGTCTTTCTAGTTGTGCTAAACATCTCCTGCTGCATTAGAGCAAAGTCTCACACCTGTGAGTCCCAGCTGCACCAGCTCCTGAGTCTTTGGCTCCCACAGCTCCCTCTCCCACAATAGCCCCCACAACAGCCCCCACAACCTCCTGTCTAAACTAACCTGATGAACTCAAAAGAGCCCAACTAAAACACACGTAAGTATGAAAAGTAGACATATTTTCAGAACTGGAATAAATTACTATAACGAGCTCTAATTTCTACTCATAATTTTTATTTATTTGTAAAGTCAGTTTTAATGATCCCATCATCAGAGGGAAGCAGTATTAAAATCCACAACTACAACTAATCTCTAAAGCACTGACACATGGTTTGGAATATGTTATGGATCTTTGTAGCAGGTACAAAGATACATACTTCTTTTGCCCAAGAAGTATCATTATGTTGGACAGCCTCTACTGTAATACTTTAACTTCAACAGCCTCAGGTAGGAGGCCAAACAAAATGTGCTCAGTGCCCTTTACATTCTTTCCTATTCCTGAGGCAAAGGATTTGGATAATGACAATACTATCATAGGTTTCCTTCAACTTGGTCTCTATTGCAAAAGTTCTACTTTCATTATTCAGAACCCACTCTCCAATATGGTAGCCACTAGTCACATGACTACTGAGCATTTGAACTGAATTTAGATATGCTATTAGGGTAAAACACACATCGAATTTCAAAGACTTTATATAATAAAAAAGAATATATAATCTCATCCATAATTTTTATATTGATTAAATGTTGAAAGAACATTTTATATGTGAGTTAAATAAAATGTATTATTCAAATTAATTTGACCTGGTTATTTTAACTTTTTAAAAATGTAGCTACTAGTTTTGAAGGAGAACATGCACCCCAATGTTTACAGCAGCACTATCAACAATAGCCAAATTATAGAAAGAGTCCAAATGTCCATCGACTGATAAATGGATAGAGAAGATGCAGTATATATTTACAATGGAATATTACTCAGTGATCAAAAAGAATGAAATCTTGCTATTTGCAACAACACAGATGGAACTAGAGTGTATTAATGCTAAGCAAAATAAATCAGAGAAAGACAAATATCACATGATTTCACTTCTAAATTCTATGTGGAATTTAAAATACAAAACAGATGAACATAAGGGAAGGGAAGCAAAAATAATGTAAAAACAGGGAGACAAACCATAAGAGACTCTTAAATGCAGAGACCAAACTGCCGGTTGCTGGAGGAATGTTGGGTGGGGGGACGTGCTAAATGGGCAAGAGGCATTAAAAGGAGGGCACTTGTTGGGATGAGCACTGGCTGTTATATGTAAGTGATAAATCGCTAAATCCTATTCCTGAAATCATTTAAAAAATGTAGCTACTAGGAATTTTAAATTACATACATGGCTCACATTTGCATATACACACACCTTTTGGCTTTCTAAATCAGAACCATCCAGTATGTATGCATATGTATATTATACACATATATAACATTTAAGCCATGAATAAATATATTTATGAGAACTTTTGTACATTATTTGATAGCAAATAATTCTTACAAAGACAGGTATAATATAATAATAGCATAAAAGAGGCCTCATTTATTGAGCTCCAACTTTGTGATGCGGATAGCACTAAAAGCTTCAGATAGATTATCTGTAATCCTTCCAACAGGGAGCAGTAGTTTGGACGAAGACTGTGTGATTTGCCCCAGATCACATTGCTAAAAAGTGTTCAACTCAAGCTCTGAATGTAGGTCTGTCTGAGGACAATGTCTGCACCCTGTACTCCTTCAAATAAGGAAATCGAGAGAGGCCCTGTTTGGAAGGGACCAAATGAAGCTCGTCTTACGAAGATGGTCATTATCCACTTTGGGCAAGGACTATCCAAAGCCATATATCTATCATTAAGAAGGTGCTCCCTTTCCCCTTTGGACACTGTGGAATGAACAGTTTTGAAAACCGGCACACACACAAGCCCCCAACCAGCCTGAGGAGTGCACTGCTCACCCTGCTCTGAGAAAGAATTTGCTGGAAGGACACAGAGTTTGAGGGCCCGCATAGCAAAGTACGCCAGAAGCAGCAAAACAATGGCACCAAGTGAGGTGTGGCCGGCTGTCTTTGGTGCCACCTCTCAGATGAGTTCTCTGCTCAATCCTTAGTGTGGCCAAAGCTTCTGACCCTAGTCCACCCTCAGAAAATGCATCAGTAAAACACCACTAATGGAGTGGGAAGCTCGAGAATACCCAAGGGGAAGTGATGCTACCACAGGAGAGAAAAGCAGAGTCGCCAAAAAGATGGCCGAAAGAAAGAGCCTTCTAAAACCCAAAATATCTTATGCCATCAAGCTTTGGAAAAATTAGACATGCAAAACTTTGGCATTCCTTCGTCCATCTTCTCTCCCACCATGCTCCCAGTCGAATAAGCCTTGGAAGTCTATAGACATCTGCTCAGCATGGCCACAAGTACCCACAAAAAGCAATTCTCCTTCCTGCAGCAGTTGGAAAAGTGGGGTGACGGACATGGAGGAGGGGGGAACTGGTCAGAAAAAAAAAAAGACAAAAAGTTCAGTGACATTCAGACGTGAACCTAGGGATTTTTGAATGGTTCAGAATAGGACACTGTCACCTCTGATTTAATTAGAAGACTGTTTTCGGGATGCTGAAGGTCTCGGCTCATAATCAAGCACTTACATAATCCTCCTCATTGAGTCCTTGTTTCTCAACAGAACTTTTCACCTCCATGGAAAACTTCTCAAACTCAGGTTTCACTGTCCTCAGTAGAGTGATTGTTTGGAGGGATGAGTATGCTTGCTTAGCTTCAAAGTCATGCTTGTCTCCTCTCTTCCACGAGCCATCTCCTACAGAGAAAGAAAAATATTTATAATTCCAAGGCAGTCACCATAAAGGGACCATTCTCCCTCTTCAGCTGCAGCGTGTCACTACATGTTACTTTTGGCAGCTGGGGCAAGCGGTATTGTCACAGTTCTGCACTTGGATATAACATGACCACATCAAGATCCTCAAAGGAGAAGAAGGCCTTTTGGACACGTGTTCCTTTGAAATGGGAGAGGAACATAAAAGCACTGTGGACTTCACTGCCTCAACCACATAACTGTAATTTTCAGCACCTGAGAATCCAGCACTGGAGGAGTAAGAAGTAAATTTGTCTTCCTTTCCATTCACATTTTTTTAATACCTACAATCAACCGTGGAGGTCAACCGAGTTGTTACTACTGTGCAACAAACCTGATGTTATGTAGATGTGGAATGACAGGAAAGTCTATGTGCGACAACACAAGTCTTGTGCACAAGACTTATGCACAAGTATGATAAAGCTGGCACCATTCACAGGGAAAAGTTTGACATTATTGATATTCTCTGAAATATTTCTGGAATCTCTTCAGAATAAAAGCAGCTCAGGTGAACACGAGGGTTTATATCTCTGTAGTGTTGGGAGCACCATAACAATTATTTTTTGGACAATATTCGTCAGTGCATCAATAGTAACAAAATTAAAATTGCTAACATTTATTGGACATATATAACAATAAAAGCTCTGTTTATTGAGCACTTTATACATATAAACTCACTGAATCTTTACAAGACTCTCTGTGATTCGGGCACATTATCCTATGTTACAGATGAGGAAACTGAGGCATTGAGAAACTGGGTCCTCCCTGCTTCACAGCACTCCCTCTCACAAAAGCAAAGGCAGATTACATGGATAAGAATCATTACTCTTCTCGTTATGATTTCATTTTTGAGGAAATATGTGGCCTGCAGGACCCCAAAAGGAAACATGGGCTTCCAACATGTGGCAATAAACTGTTGTTTCTATGAATTACCATTATGACCCCTACAGATCTCTGGAAATACAACAAGGAATTCAGCCCGCTAGAGTTCAACATCAAAGTCAGTTGTTCACACCAAGCCCCTAGTCCACAGTGGACAAGTGGAGCCCAGCAGCTAAGCAGTGAGGATGCTTGGGGAGTGTGCAGCCAGGGCTCGGGGCACTCACTCTGCTCTTATAGACAAAGCTCCATAAAGAGTCGGTGGCTCTGGAACTTCTACCACAGCTTAAATCAGACAAACATTAACTAACTGTATACCACACACAAGGTTCTGTGATAGCCAGCACAGGACACGTCATGAATGTCTTGAACAGTCTCCACCACCATCACAGAGGGGTTTAGAGGGGCACCTGGGTGGCTCAGTCAGCTGGGCATCTGACTCTTGGTTTCGGCTCAGGTCATGATCTCACAGCTATAAGATTAAGCCCCCCGTTAAGCTCCACACTGGGTGTGGCACCTGCTTGGGATCCTCTCTCCCCTTCTCTCTCTCTCTCTCTCTCTCTCTCTGCCCCTCCCCAACTCATTCTCTCTCTCTCTCTCTCTCTCAAAAAAAAAAAAGAGGGATTCAGAAATAGACACGTAAATAACTGAAGTTATTACAGGGTAACAGCTTACTATAGCAGGAGGCGGGGGAATACAAAGAAACAATGCAGAGGGTAGAGGAAGAGGCAAGAGGCTCCCACACTCCTAAGGGGGATGGTTTCGAGGGAGGTGGAGGAGCAGGTATCGGCTGGTCCTAAATGTGTGAATAGGATTTTAATAGAAGGAGAGCAGGATGGAAAGGCGTGCTTGGCAGAGCCTGTGGCACAGGCAAAGGTGCAAATGTGTATGACATCAAGTAGGCAGCTGGGAGCCTCAGTCTAGAGCATGAGAAAAGGCAGAGGCAAAGAATTTATTTGTGGGGGCATCTGTATAACCATAATCCTATTAATAGCAACCATTTATTAATTGCTTACTCTGTGCCAGGGAGCTGTTAAAAGATAAATAAGACAGAGCTGAGGACAGAATTCATTAAGGACTAGATCCGCTCTCAATGAGCACAGATTAAATTTCAAGCCACCAAACAAAACTTGACAAAGTCCTCCTCCTTCATATGAAACCTCCCAAACACCAAGGAAGCTGCAACATGCACAGCAGCTGCGCCCGTAGTGAGTGAGTTACAGCCACTGCTACCAGCCAGGGGACCCAGCGGGGTGCTCAAGACCCAGGCAACACAGTCTCTGTTAAGGAGCCAGGTCCATTTGCCAGGAAGACCCCCAATTCTAAGAATGTCCAGAACATTCTTCATCCCAAGGAGGAACCCATTTCTTATAAGCATGCAGTCAATACTTATTGATTCATTTATAATTGATTTGAGATACCAAGACTCAAAAGGAATGGTATTTTGTAGGCAAAGAGGGTCAGAGTTTCTAAGCTCCGGGAAAGAGTATTCTCCAGACACAGAAGAAAGAAAATACTTAACCCTAAAGGGTTTTATTCTGTGGAATTAGAAAATACATATACAACTGGAAACAGTAACTATCTCTGTTATGAAATAGGAAAACACTCTTTTCTGAAAGAAGTGAAATCCAATGTAATAAATCTGTCTACCACAATCCAAAGAGGAATAACTGTAGAGTTTTGTCTTCTAGAAAAAAAAAATGGAAACAATAATGCTTAAATAAATCTGAGCCAAACTAAATAGTTCCCTTGTCACAACCATAATCGATACTGTAACTTATCACTTTTGTGGGCATTTCTTATTGTAATATGTCAGTAACATTTCCCATACACAGGGTGTTGAACACTGGAAAAGCAGAGTTAGCTTGGCATGATGCCCCATCAGCGAGGACAAATTTAATGCAGTAGACAACTGGGTGCCTCTAGAGATTTACGAGTGTAACAGAAGAATGACATGATCAGAATCATGCCTTGGGAAATAGCAATGGATTAGAATGGGGAGACACGGAGGGTTCACAGCCACAGTAATCCAGGCAAGAGGTTACAAGAGGCTCTAATGGGAAGTCACACACCAAAAAACTAAACATGACTCTTTTGGTAGTTAGAATTACAGGAAAATTTTCTTTTCTTTTCTTTTCTTTGCATTTTTCTGAATCTAGTAAATTATAAATACAAAATATTTACTGCTTTTACAATCATAAGAGGGAGAGTCCTTGAGAATAAAAGCAGAGGACAGTGCAAGAGGAATCTCAAGACTCTGAAGAGTTAGGGAGTGAGGGACAACAAAAAGAGAGGCACGTCGCTGATGACGCCAAAGAGGAAAGGAAAATGGGATGTTATTAAAGGAAAGCACAGAGCCAGATGGCGGAAGAGGGATATGAGGTGGAAATGGTAATGACTTCAGTTAGGGTCACGGTCAACCCAAGGTGACTAACTACAGAATGCCCAAGTGACAACACCAGGCTAGAGTTGGAAATAGCAGTCTGACGCCAGAAAAAGGAGTGAGCACTAGAGAGTATTGGATGCCATTTCCAAATGGCTTCAAGTGAAACCAGGGAGTGACCACATTGGATAAGAAAGAGAAGGAGAAGGGTTGAGCACAGACACCTTGTGGATGCTGTTTCTAGTGGGCAGGAGGAGGAAGAGGAGACAGAGAGGAGCTAACAGAGAACCAAAGAATGCTGTGCCACCAAAACCAAGAAAACCAGGGTTAGGGAGTGGGGAGGAGGAGAAGGTGGGTGATGGGCATTGAAGAGGGCACTTGTTGGGATGAGCACTGGGTGTTGTATGGAAACCAATTTGACAATAAATTATATTTTAAAAAAAAAAAAGAAAGAAAAACAGGATTTCCAGAAACAAATGGGTGGAAACAATACAGAATTCTCTAGAGCTGTGCTGCCTAATAGAGCAGCCACCAGCCACATGTGTGACAATTTACATTTAAATTAATTAAAATTAAATAAAATTTTAAATTTGGTTCCTCGGTCACACTTGGCCACATTTCAGGTGCTCAATGGCTCCGTGTGGCTAGTAGCCACCATACTGGGCAACCTAGAACAGAACAGAGGCAGCGTCACAGAAAGTTTCACTGGACAGCACTGCTTTAGAGGCACAGAGACTTGTTCTGAGGTAGGCCAATGGCTTTGGTAGTGAGGTCATTGGTGACCTTGACGATGGCACTTTCAGAGTGGTGAGCACTAATGTCATATTCTTTCAATGCTCCTGAGCAAGGGATCAAGAAGATGAAAAAGAAGTCTGCTAGTGAAAAGTAGGGCAGGGAAGGTGATTCTTTGAAGTTGGTTCAGGAGTGAGGAAAGTGTTGCTTTGTTTTGTTTTAAACATCATGGAGTCCCAAGCTAGCATTTAGAGAAGGGCACAGAATATTTGTGAAAGAGGAAGTAACCTGCTCACCATCAAGCCCTCCTGTGGCCAGGGAGCTGGAACTGGCAAAAGGTACCCACACTGGGATAACAAGCTGAAACATCACAGAATACATCCAAGAAATGAATGCCTGGAGTTCACCTGGACTGACCTTGCCTCACTCTACCCTCTCCGAATGTCTAGGTGTTAAATTCTTGTCATGAGCTAGGCTGGTCCAGTCTTCCTCCCATCAGTAATAACAGCACCACTTACTGCGTGATTCCATTGTGAATGGCATTTCCTATAGCATTTCATTCTTTATTCCTCATAAAAACTCCATGAAGAAGATCTAAGTATGATTGCCACCTTCCAGACAAGGAAACTGCGGCTCAAGGAAATTAATGTGCCCCAAGCCACTTAGCTAATAAACAACAGTGGCAGGATTCAAATGCAAGCCAGACTCCAAACACTGGTGCCATGCCATACCTGCTCTACCTTCATTTCATCAGAGTTTGGGGTGTTGCAAGCTTTAAAACTGAGCAACCCAATGGGATGACAAAAATGCTAAAAACAAAGTAACACAGAAAGAAAGATCAGAGGAGGAAGCGTCTAAATGTTACAGTTCAAAGATTGCATGAAAGTTCTTTTTCTTTTCTCATAGTCACAAACTGACTTTAATGGGCATATACTATTTTTATAGCAAAACA